GAGAGGTGGTATAATTTTCGATGGCGTCAATAACACGAGTGGCAGGTGGCTGAATTTTACGAAGTCTTTGCGACGGTCTCGAATCTTCCTTCTTTCTCAACCGGGCTTGGTACCGGCAACGACGGAGGCAAGTAAATTCACTTACCATTACAATAATATTTTCACTTGATAAGTTATGCATAGTAAAGAAGCGTTTAAACTTAATCTATAAAAATTAAAATAATTAATCATGTGCAAACCGCATTGAAGAGGCACGGCTGATCCAAAATGTCCCTAATAGGACAACGCCGAAGAACACAACTCGAGCAGACTAATGAAAGCTATTAAACACAACGATTCGGTCGAACATAGCTGATGTTTGCCAATGCCAAGATGACGGCGGCGAAGTGGCGAAATGTCAGTGTACATAGCAGCGAGAGCAGATGCAAACCATCGAAAGCGAATTCAGTTAGCAGAGCAAATGCATATACTTAAGCAACGCACGGTGATTGACGAAAAACGTGCCATCATTTCGGTTCGGAACGGGCGTTGCTATCGCCAGAACGGTCGCATCGATGCTTGTATAGGTGAAGCCCTGATATGGTCAGCAGTTTCGTTTCCTATCCTCAGTAAATTGACTGTGCGAGTTATCAGATCTCGTTATGAACTAATTATGATAAACGAAACAAAGGGAACGTGACTATCTTTTTAATGCTTATGGCAATGAAGGCTAGTTTCATTTAAGGCGTCACTTCTCAAGTTCCTGCGGTATCATTGATTTGAGGCATATCTGCGATTATGGAATTTGTGTTTGAAGCCGATTGGTCGGAACGAAAGAGAATGGATAATTTTTTGTCACGCATAAAGCCATTATTATTGAAAAAGTGGAAGGAAGAAAATGTTACAAATGTGAAAATATGGTTTATCAGTTATTGAACCACCTTTCACAGCGATTATCAGTTTAGAATATTCTGTTTGGCTGTCGGCAGTACTTGTATGATGGACACACTTTATTGGATCTTATTTGGTGCTGGCTAACTGACTTGCTTTCGCTATGCGGTTGTTAGTTGTTGTGTAAAGTTTTCCTTGTACTTCAATTTTTCTTCTGAAATAAAATTTTATTTTACGATATAACTCAGTAACTTATTTGCTTTCAGTTCCGTTGTCTGTTAAATTACGCTACCAGAAATGAGTAAAAACTGAGGACATTTTGACGAGACGGCTCAATTCCATACGTCTGAAGCCTGTCTAAAGAAATTTCAACAACTGATGTCAAAAAGTGACATGTAGCCATGACCTACTTAAATTTTCTTCTAGGTTATTACAGTCATCGGGGTGGAATGTTGCCGGTTAACCCGTTAACGAGTTACTCGACAGTAACAAGCCCACGATTCATTCCGGTTTCAATGCCATCTCCGGCCAGGTAAAATCTTTCCGGCTCCTGACATAATCTTCCCACTGTCCTGGAGGGTGAGGAACAGGTCTAACTTCTCTTCGAGCACGCTACTGGTAGATCATCCTTAGCCATCTCCCGTCAGCAAGGATAACTACGTTCCCGGCGAACCGTAGCTTCTGCTCGCTACTTTAGACGACGACGCCCTTCATTCTTGTTCATTATTTGGTCACGAGGTGGGAGGCGGAGCTTTCGATGCGAGATTCCCTTCTTTGCAACGCTCCCATGGTGACCGATGCCAGCCGTACTTCGACACTTATGCGTGACAATTTCTCGCAGCTACGAAACAAGGCCGAGAGGACATGAGGATTGAAGATGTGGGCGCTGGTTTCTTCCCTACAGTTGCTGCGGACAACTTCTTCGATAGAATGGACGAAGGGCCAAACGGCCCTCATTTTGATTTCTAACGCCAGGCAAATTCATTTATTAGCAGTTACGGGTCTTTTGCTAATTATCATTAAACGGGCTTGGAATAGACGTGTGATTGGTAAGTATTTTTTTATAACCGTCAGTTACACAGTCACACTTTTGCTGTTTTTCTGTTGGGGTCATGCAAGTTGTCTTGTAGCAACGGAAAGTCTGGAGTCTTCGCAAACAACGTCATGCCACTGTGAACAAAGGATGGTTGAGCGGATCACCACTAATGTCAATCGCACCATTCCGGCTTATCCTTCGAATCAACATTTCCAAAGAGGAGGCGTTCTTTCACGGCCTTGTCTTCGAGAATCGAACTGGTCGTCGAGCTTTGTGGTGTTTCTGAGGCAGGATGTGTTCTCTTCTTGTAGCTGATTGATCTCTTAGTTGTCGATCACCTGTTCTGCCGATGCAGTCCGCAATGCATGGTACTAGGCAGTATGGAACGTTTTCTCTTTGTGATCCAAGGCAGCGCACACACGGATTTCATATTCTCTCACGCGTACGAGCACCTGATTTGCATTAAAGGCATTATTCCTCGACTGTACTTTCTTAGGAAGTGCTCGTGCTGTTTATGACGACTTATGGACAGTCTGTTGGTAATGACTTTAGTGAATTCATACGTGGAACGGTGAGAGCAGGAACATTGAGAAATAACGTTTCACCTGTTCTCTCTCGCCCTCCTCAAACGGCATGATGACATCTTTTCGCCTTCCATCTTTCCAAAAAATTTTACAATTTCGCCAGTCAGCCCTTCCGTCCTTGTGTCTCTATCTTCGATAATCTGATGCCTCCATATCGAACCTTACTCATCAGGACCAGGAGGGCATTTACATCTAGATGTTAGAGCAATGGGGTGAGTGGGCACTTGTCTTTGACGCAAAGAGTTGTCTGTGACTGTTTTTTTTCAGATAGACTGCGTTTCAGCTCCTTCAGACATTACGCACCATCCTCGTTCTTCGATTCCGTGATGGTCCATTGATAAAACGCTTACTCGTTTCGGCATCATTTGCACCTTATGCGGTCTTTGGCTGTTTTCTCTAATTTTCGTAATTGGAGGGTCTCAAGGTCCTCCTTCAGATTCCTTGCAATGAGCGTGGAGAGACGAGTGCCATCCTACCGGTCCTATCTCTTTTCATTTTGATTCTCTTCTTCGTAATACTCTTTGTTTGTTGGTAAATCCTTCTTTTCGGTCCCTTGGTTGTTTTCATCTCCTCTGGCTTTAGGTAACGCCTCAGTTTCTCGGCGAACTTCTCGTAGTGATCTTCGCACCTATGGTTCAAGCTTCAGGGTTCTGACCATCGCTGCCCATTCGATTACCTACCGTCGTTGTCACTTGGTGTTGAAGTTGTTTGTTTTACATTGGTGTTGCGGCAGCTGTCATTTGCAGAGCCTTCCTCTCGTTCCTCTCCTCAGAGGTTAGCCGAGGTCTTGAGAGTCTGTGATCACTACCATTGTTAAATCATTGATTTAACCCTACGTCTTAGATGATACGGCATTTATCTGACAAGGTAACGTTAATCTAGTTCGTCGCAGCCCCCTCCCCAACGCAGCTACGTGTGATCCATGTACTCCTGCTGCTGGTCTTCTTGTTCAATCAGGTACTGCCACTCCACAGGTGTTGCCTTCCGCCTAGGTAACTAGCTGGTCGCCTTTCTCGCTTCACTTTCCAGTGACGTACTTACCGAGAAGCGTGTCTTCCTGTCCGACCTTTGCATTGAAGTCTCGAATGGGAGGGGATGCGGTTTTCGTACTGTTTGTGACCAGTGTCTGTTCTACCTCATTATATTATTCTTCCACACTTCATCGTCGGTTGTACTTGCAGAAACACCAGTTTCCACGATCTTACAGGCCTTTTACTTGTTGAGCGGCAGGGACAGCACAGGGGTTCTCGGTGATTTCACCTCACAGGAGGTGAGTTTGCAGGATCAACTTATGCTGAGCATAAATCCGATTTTCCCTATGGTATTTTCCTCCTCACAACTTGCTACTCAGTTCGACAATTCTTCATTCCAGATGTCATTCACCTCTTTTGCCCTAAGGCCATGCAGATGCCAGCGGTGTCGTCGGTCATTCGTACTATTTCATCCATCAATTGGTTTGGCATTTGATGCACTATCGAAATACCCCGTGTGCAAAATAGAACAAAAGATACCCCGATGTTCTAGAGCACCGATCGATAATAGCTCTTCTGGGATTCGCCGAAGATACACTAACTAGCAAGATCAGATATCTACTCCACATGTCTCCGTCACTCACCGCGCCCTCTATATCGCATTATCGCAGTTGAAGCATTGTCTCCAAAGGATACCTTGCATATTCTCCTGTCCATTGCCCTCCGCGTTACTGAATGTTTTATTTCCTCAACCTTGGGAGTCCACCATTAATTACTGAGTCGGGAACGGGTGAGCAGAGGGTTCTATCTTCTCGATATGAGCAATTCGTTATCCAGTAGCGATATTATGATGCGATTGAACCATACCAATCGCGCTAGTGACCACCTGCTGATCTCACCGCTGTTGTAGTTACTACAGTCTTTAAATGACCAGCGAATGGGCAGCTAGCGTTTTTCTTTTGCAGTTCTTCGCGGTCAATGAAGATGTTACCCATGAAACTGCCTTCTTCTGCATCCATTTCATCCAAAACCTTCATCTCTGGATCGATGGGACATAATGCCATCTGCAGATGCGAACTTTTTAATGTGTATTCCACCTTTCCTTTCGTGAGGATGGTGATGACGTCATCAGTGTGAACCATTCTCCGTTAAAGGTCTGTCCCGGACGGTTTCAAGAGTATCGGAGAGTTGCGGTCTGCTTTCCGTGGTCCTCCGTCTCAGTTAAATTCGACATGATTTCTTAAAGAATTTGATGTAAGCTGCGATATCAGCATTCTCTTGCTCCACCGGGTCGACGTGTACAGGGCGTAATAGGGCAATCATGCTAAATGTTCAGTATGGCGTTCAGCTCGATGAAATCAAATACTTTCTGAAGTCAGTGAATCTGTAGCAGCGGAGAATTCTATATTCCTTGCATTATTCTGTCAACTGTTTTTAAAACCCACTTGCTCATTATAAGCGAGCAGTTTCAGGCTTCTCAAATTGCTCTGATGATGATTCGAGAAAGGCCATGTACACATTTGTCAAGACAGTGGTGGACTTAATGCCTCTCGTGGACTTTAGCTTCATTGTTCTTGAATGGAATAATCTTTGAGGATCTATTCTGTATTTTTTGTGTTTTCTTGACTTCATCTTCCAGTGTTAATTTTTGGTAAGCTCTTTGAATGAGGTAATTCCCACTGACTCGAAATGTTTCGGTTTCATTCCAAGGCATCCACTACTGTTGATATTTCAACTGTCCACTCTTCTTCGTTTCTCTAGAAATTCAGAATATCAGCAGATGCAAAGCGCGACAACTTCTGCTCTACCTCTACTCTCGAACAGTAGACATAATTGTACAACCTTCACACGTCTGTGGTTGTTCGCGGTCCTTTCTCAACAAGTGCTACAGAAATCCGTTTTTCATGAGGATGCAGTTTTCCTCGGCCATTAAGCCATTACTCTTTAATTCAGCCGCTTTTAGCTTCATTCTTTGTACTCATCACAGACCTCTACAATCTCAGATTCATTTGCATAATACTGTTTACTCCTCGTCTAATTATCGATCAGACGTCATTCTTGAATCTTCTGGTAAAGAACTTCCTCGTTGCAGAACTGGTGTATGGTTCGTTCGACAACACGGTTGTCCGGCAGGATAGCCGGAGGATATTTTTTATGGATTTCCATCAGGAGCTGGAAGACTGCATCGAAGACTGTGCGGAAGTCCGCTGCGAGGTTCGGCTGAAGAAACCTGTCTGCGAAAGCCTCAGATCCGTGCTGCGGCCGGTGGGGGAGGGGGGCTTTGATCCGTTCTCACCTGATCTTCTTTTGCGACATCAATATCTAGTGTGCTGTGGAGTAGTCTAGAGTCTGACCACGTATAGATGATGCTTTGTCTAATGAAACATACACGCGTTATTACCCGCATTGTGACAGTAAATAGATACTAAATTTGGTTAAGGATCGTTCCAGCGGGGCTACTGATTATCGATTTTTCATACTTTGTGCAGATGATGTGGAGTGGGTCATTTTCACCAAACGCTACGAGTCAGAAAAACGTTCCTTTCTCCATGCACTTCCAAACCAGCCGATGAAATGCCCTGTAGCGTTTCTGTGATTTCCCTTTATATTACCATATTCAAAATCTCCTTGAACGATTGTGCTAGTGGATGTTTGGCATTCGCGCTTTCCAGATCCTCGCACCATTGCTCCACTTCTTCATCGTCCACTCGTAGTGTTTGGCTGTGAGCTTCGATGACCTTCATTGAACTTTTCATGTCCACTTAGATACCACGACACGAGAGGACACGTGACTACGGAAGGCATATCCTACACCGTCTGTCTTAATCCGGTTTTGGTGAGCTTCCCTGAAAATATCAGATCACGGTTGCTGCAATGTACCATAAGTTCGACGGATTTTCAGGTTTCCAAGCCGCCGAGAACATTTGTTTGATCTTCTTCGCCTATATCATGCAGATATCAGTGATCACGTGAAATGACAAAGTTCTGGTGTTGTGGCTAGCAACAAGATCTTGATGATATCCATTTGTCGTTTACCAATTACGTGCTGACCATCACCGAGTCGTAAACAACTCCCATGTTTGACTAGTCGACGCAGCGCCTCCATTTACGGCCCCGGTACTCTTCCGTACTTAACGCTTTTTTGACGAGTTTCACAGGCAGTCCAGCAGGTTGCCGACGTTCTTCACCTGTAGAGTTCGACTTTCACATCTTTTAGCCAATTCATCGAGAACCGGATGGGAGACGGTTGGTGCGCTCATGGTGGGGCAGGGTTCACTGAATGGTTTTGGGCCTTGCCGTCTCATCTTAACGGAGAGGGCCATCTGCGGCACATTCTCTAGTCTATCCCTCAAGAAAAGTGGCCTGCCATGAGTCTGGAATTGAATAGGCGACACAGTTCTGCGGTACAACCTCATGTAAGGACATCCGTACGTCTTACAGTTGCACCATGTCATTGGAAATAAGTGCACAATAAGAATTAACGTTTATTCATGGCTGACGTCTATGAAGGTATGTAAAAGTAATCATGTTACAGATATGAATGTATATTAAACCACTGTTGCTCTTGTGCTCATTGTTGTTATGCCGGACTAAAGACTTTGACTACGATCAAACGGCGTTTTCCTCTTTTCTGTATATCTTCACTTAACCGAACGCGAATGTCAGAACTGCAGAAAGCACATATCGAAGACACGGTTGGCTTCAAAAAAGACATGGACAAAGTTGAAGGATGGATAGTTATATAAGTGGTTCGTATGAAATTTATTCAACTAGATGTCTTATATGTTATTAGATGCGAGAGAGGTCTGCTTTGCCATCTCCTATTCATCATCGTTCGCGATTTCCTTCCCTGGAACAGTCCTTACTTTGGCAAAGACGAGGGTATCATTCAATGAGGATGGCGCAGTTCAACATTTCAGGGGATGTCCTTACTGATCTGAAGTACGTAGACGTAATTGTCTAGGTGAAGAGTACGGGCAAGAGACACGATCGAATGATAGATCCCGTTTGCAGCAAAGCTGCGTAGCCGGCATCTTCTTTAACACCCCATAGCCAAAGGTCATGAGGAACGCACGCAGCACAGATTAGTTACAGTTTGAACATGGAGGTGATACTCTACAGGATGTGGGCCAATTTAAGTATCTCGACTCCGTCATCTCGAGCAATAGCACTATTTTGCCGGAGTTAAATAGAAAAATCGTCCTAGCCTTTGCTGCTCTTGGAAACGTGTGCGAAATTTCGTCTGAGAAAGCAGTTACTCGTCTCACAAAACCATGCCTTTACCTGGCTTCTGTCAAATAGGTGATTTTGAACCCAATAGGGATCATTGTTTTAAGGAAGAACGAGGGTTGAACTGCGTACTATAGTGGTGGATTCAGCGCTGAAAGGCAAATTTACACATCAGTCCCACAAAAACGAACGATCATATCTTTTTCTTAGATAGATTTGGCCATAGATTAAGAAATATGGAACCTCAGGTCTGCGCTGTTGTACAAACTGGTTGAAGAAAATATTTATTTCAGTTCATTGGTTGCACATGTAAAAAGCAAAGCACAGCCGACGTAATCGTCGAGGAGACTAAGTAACAGGGAGGAACAAAGTAGAGGGTGATCCGTTCTCCAGAGAAAGATCTCCTTCTACGAACCAGCTACGGCCTCTGATACCAAAATTGTTGAAAAGTTGTGAATACTGCGGACATCACGAGGTACAGAGGGTGCGCTCGTACAGGAAGGTGGAGATGATGGTCGTAACAACGCATACACGCTACCACCTTCGCTTGAGCGCTCAAGTTGATAAGCTGATCTCATAAATTCTTTGTCCTGCGGTTCATCGTTGTTTCGCCGTGATGGTGACTCAGTTAAAATTAAAAAGATCAATAATATACATGTTTGTAAGAAACAAAACTCAATGGACTTTATGAATATTAATCAATATAAAAGGCAATTTAACATGAAACGGTTGTGGGTAATCTTAATTACTGTATCCAGTTATTGCATTCCACATTTTTATAGTACTCTCGAAACAGAACATGGTCGCAGGTTCTATAGTGCCGAAAATTCAAGTAACTTTAAGTATTCTTTGATTTAAACTATTTAAATGTTAATCTAAAGCTATGAACTTTTCACATTTATCATAAGTTAATCATCAGTTAATAGTTAAACTAGTAAATTGATTACTCGTGTAGTTATATGGATTGCGCAGATGATGAACCTGCATAATATTTTCTGATTCCTTCCTCTCCTATCTTGTTCGTCATATTATTTTTTTAGCGTGATTGCTTCTCCCGTAGAGATCTCGCCGGCGGTATTCAGCGGGAGCAGTTGTCCAAGTTCAATGAGCAAATTGAGCTGCGCACCCAGTTTCTCCTTCTGATTTTCACACTCATCTTTCGTACTTGTTGCCTACATTGAAGACACCGCCGCTAACATGCTTAGCCTCATGGCTGTTGGCGCAACACATAAGTGTCTCATTCGTTTAGTCTAAAACAGTGCAGTAGGGAATTGAGGGTTCTAAGTTATCAGCACAGTGAAACGATATGGTTCATGAATTTAGAGTGATTTCTCTTCGAATAAGATCTTTCTATCACTCGTGAGAAAGGAACGATATTACAAGCAATAACTACCGTTCCATCGTTCACGTTCATCATCGATTAACGCCATCCTTGCAACGAAACATTTAATGACTCAGCATAAAACAGAGCAAATATATATTTCATGAACTATAAACATTGGATAAAGCGAAAAGGTTCAGCTCCCCTCATTGA